GGGGGGGGGGGGGGGTCATGAGGCATACGAATCAAATGGAGTAGGGATAAATTGTATTTATGAGGGTTAGTGGGATGTGAGGTAAGCGAAATCAATGGTGACTAGGGTTTATTAGGTATTAGAAATTTTCCTTTTTTTATGCCCCTTCTTTTTAGTTTTAAGATAAGAAAAAATAGAAGGATAAAAAATGTCATTTCAGTTGCAATGAAAAGGATAAGGTATAGTTACTAAAACATTCTATTTTTTATATTAATAATATTTAATTATATTTTGTTATCATTTAAAAATATGTATTTTAAATTTTGAACATAAATTTTAACTTTAAATTTAAGTAATTTCTTTAATAATAATTAATGAATATTTATTTTCAGTACGCATGTACTTGCTTGTTGATTTTTGTCTCTCACACACTTTGAAATTTGACTCGATTTGCATGCTTAGGTAGAAGTTTCATCAATTTTCTCGTGCCAGTACAGACAATATTGGTGTCTTTTTTGGATTTTTGAAAGTTCCAGACATGCTTGGGTTGTCTGTTTTTTGAACGGAGGTCATTTGGGTATCCTCATGCATCATCGCGCATTTGATTTGACGTTTCAAACGCATTCGCTTGATTAGATTGTGAGAGGTCTCATTTGGCTAATTTCAGTGTTATGATCACAATGATGCAATTTATTGTGATCAGAGATCATTTCGAGTAGTTTTGAGTGTTGTCGGGGTATGTTGGGTCAACTCATACAACGTCTTATCGGTTGATCGTAAATATAGTCAGACGAGCTCATTTTGATTTGTTGACATATCTTAGGGGTCAACAGTGGCAGTCACCAACCTCATCCCCATGTTCAACCTTGATGGGTACCTTGCTTTTTTAATTTCATCAAAACAAATAGAAATTTTAATTTCATTACGTTTGAACTACCTTCAAGTCGACCAAATGTCATCATTAAATTCAAAATACATGGGATTTTGGTTAATTTGCATTTTTTTACTTTGTATTTGGAATGTATCCAATCAAACATCCCCTATAAATAGTTCCGTAGGTCTAAAAACAATAGGGGCACAAGTGGGCTGTCTCCCCCAAATCTGTAGTATAGTCAGCCTTCGCCAAAAAAAAAGTCTCTAATATCCTAAGCCAAATGGATAGACAAACTTTCTAAACTTTGTAGATATTATAAGAATAAAATAAGATGGATAATAAACAAAGATATTAAATCATACAAGAGAATATCCATTTGGATGCTTGTCAAAGAAAGCATTTTCTCTCTCTTGCTCTTTTTTACTTTATCACATCAGCTGGTTGTATCTCTCGATCATGTATGCATAAATATCATACGTCTAGGTTATATTATAAAGCTTTGATTATGTTCAATAAGAAGAATCTTATCACTCAAAACTGAACTTTGTAGTTAGATTTGCCTACTGTCATCAATGTCCAAAGAATGTAAATTATTAATTAATGGAAATGAACTGATTGCGAACTTATGAATTCTATCCTTTAAGTTTTGCCCAAGGATTCAAAGACGCTTATTTTATGGTACTGTAATTTTTAAACACTGTAATGCTTTTAATGCAGGTTACAAGGGACAGGCTCCTTCGTGAGTGGGTACTTGAAGAAACCGCTGAAAACATGCACAGGAATTTCGGATCAGGATACCCTGGAGGTATGTGATACCTTTTCATAATATATATTTGCCTATGTTCATTTCTAGAATAATGTTACATTGCTCGCTCAACATAACACCAGATCCTGAAACCAAGGCTTGGTTAGACCATCACAAGCATTTGGTATTTGGATTTCCTACATTGGTGCGCTTTAGTTGGGGAACATGTGCGCCGTACTTGAAGGATGGCGTTGAAGTTATATGGTAAGTTTCCCTTAAACCAGGTAGTATAAGTTTTGGCTTTAGTAGATCTATAAGATATAAAAGGGTTGATGGTCTTATATCCGACTATTAAGTTATTTTACTCCCATCTAAATTTAATGATACCTCAATATAATAGGTACAATTACTTTTGATCTATCTTGCAATATAATATGAATAGAGATATGAGAATTACTTTTAGAAATAAAGTTTGTTTGTTAAAATGAAGTACTTTCTTTTTAATAAGAAAACATTATTAAAATTTGAATTTAAATTTTATAAAACGATAATTAAACTAGTCGGGATATATGAATTTGCATGGTAGGGAAAAAAGTAGTCATTGACAACCAAATAAAATTGGAAAAAATGAGAAAGTTAAAAAGTGATGTAGTTAAATTAGATCGGATCAAATAACCAACATATTTGAGAAATAATAAGCTTATCATTTTCTTGAGATTGTGAAAAATAGATGAGTGATTTGTGTATGTACATTATAGAGCAAAAGACACATTAATAATATGGATATATTAAATAAATCTTCTAGGATTAAATCCAATAAGCAGTAGATTAACTGAAACAAGCTAGAAGTCATGCAAAAGTTGGCTTGCACTAAAAGTATCCACACCTGTTGCATTGAAAATAAATGGATTGAGTATTCATTATGTTGACCTAAATAATACAAAAATTTAATGATGTTGATGTATTTGAGATAAATTTAGTTAGTACTGGAATTTGAATTGATTTTGAAAAAATTGGAGTAAAATAAGTTATTTAGACTTTGCTAAAAAAATATTAGAAATGATATTTTCTTTTTAAATTTAAATGAGAATTTTACTCTTAACAATACATAATGGAGAAAAAGTATTCATGTAACCGATCCCACGTAGTGAGATAAAGGCTTGATGACGATATTGTTGTTGTTAGATTATGATGGTTTTGACATACACAATTAAGAATTTAAGATGTGTTAATAAACAAAGTTTTGAGTGTAAACAAATCGAAAAATTAAGAAAACAAACAATGAAGAAAGAATAAAAGAATTTAACGTGGAAAAACATGAAAACAGGAAAATGCAACGAAGCCACATTAAGCCATGAAATCCATTATGAAAAATAGAAGAAATTGTACAGATCTTCCTTTTAGAATCTCACAGTTCACAGTAACTTTCAGGCGCGCACATAAACCTTTTGAGGTTACAATCATATAAAATTTGCAAGAAATAAACTGACTCAGTTTACCCGCATCACAGTGGTGTTGGGTTCTCTATCACAAAATGGGTCTATAGCACTACATCGTTGTATTCTTTGTCTCATAATGGGTCTACAGCTCCTTGACGCTGGATTTATAGCGTACGAGTAAGAAAATTTATTCGATGTTTCACCTCTGAGCAGGGGGCTCGTTGCTCCCCTGCAACCCTCTTGTGAGTTCTTTGTTGAACTCAATTGGTGGAATTGAGATCCGAGTCAACATTACATTCCGATTTATCCGCATAGTCAAATTCAACAAAGAACTAACAAAAAATTGTTAAAATCAATGTGAAAATTATAAAGAAAATGGGTAGGTTAAGGAAAGAATGTCCAAAAGTAATGTAAAATGATTCTATACAATATGGAGTTGATACCTTTTTTTTTTTATATGGAGTTGATACCTTAATGTAGTACTTGGCAACACATTGCACAACTTACCTTATATGGTTGGAATAAGACTAATTATAAGATTGATTTGGGTGGTAATGGCATAAATAATTAAGAGTAGGTGATTGTTGGATTCAAGCGAAATTGCTGGCAGGAGAGTAGGTATTCATTGTGAATTAAAATTAATAGCCAAGATACAAAGAGACTGGCTCTAATATCATATTTAATGTGGTCCAAAAAGTGAATGACAAAATATTAAAGGATTCTATTAGTAAAAAGTAAGAGTGTCATGACATAAAGTGGAATGCACTCGACCAAAACTTTGAGGGCTCGCTCATTTTGTTGGAGAATCATTTGCCCAAATCAAATTCTCCCATTATCTTGGGAAATCACTAGCTAAAAAAGAAAAAAAAAAAAAGAAAATCTTTCCGCTCGAAGAAATACTTTAGCCTCATTATAAATGCCCTCGATACATAAATTTTTATAGTCATAAATATTATTCAATCTGTAGGAGATAGTTGAAATTAAAGGATTTGGTTGGTGGAAAATTACATGGTAGTTAAAATTAAATGATGAGGTTACTGGATAGGTATATGATTTGGGATTTGACTATTAATGTTTTAAACAATCATTACTTAGATATTATTGTTTATTTTTTTTATTATTATGAATTTGTTTGCTGGTTTATTGTTCCAGGGAGTCTGACCAGGTTGATGAGAATTCCTCAAATAATTGGACAAGCAAACGACAAGTAAAATTATCAAAACTCGGCTTTACTGGTTGCAAGAGGAAGACTGAGGATATTGAATCTAATGGTAAAGGTCGTTCAAAATTTTTCCAAGCTCGCAAGCTAGAGTTGGTCCCTCATTTCCAATGATTTTATTGATATCCTCTAATAGAAAAGCTAAGCTTCACCTCGTTTGGATTTTCATCAACCATTATTTTTACAGTATGGAGAACTTGATTGCAAAATTTTTTGTTGAGAACATCAGTGGAATTTCTATTATAGTTTATGTGAAGTATATCAATGTTGAGATATGCATATGAAGTAGATGAATGATTGGAACTTTTATTTGGTCCGGTCACAGGACGTAGCTCTACGTTCGGCCGCCAGTAGAATCGCGCCACCCGTTCTCACTATTTACCGTGCGCCCCGACAACCCGACCCGGAACGGACCCAGGATTGCTCGGTATTACTCGATTTTGCAAGGTATTGCTAGGTATTGGTCGATTTTGCTCGGCAATAATCAATACCGAGCAATACCGAGCATTACCGAGCAAATACCGAGTTTTTCTACAACTCGGTACAACTCGGTATTGGTCTTCACAGAGCGGTATTTCTCGTTATTGTCAAGCAATACCTAGCAACATCGAGCAATACCGAGCAAATACAGAGTTATATCGAGTTTTTCTACAACTCGGTACAACTCAGTATTGCTCGGTATTGATCTTCACAGAGCGGTATTTCTCGTTATTGCCAAGCAATACCGAGCAAATACTGAGTTGTACCTAGTTTTTCTACAACTCGGTACAACTTGGTATTGCTCGGTATTGGTCTTCAGAGAGCGATATTTCTTGTTTTTTGCAAGCAATACCTAGCAATACCGAGCAATACCGAGTAATATCTCACAATACGTGAACATAGCATTCTTGGGTTCCAGTCCGGATCAAGTCGTCGGGCCGCGCGGTAAATAGGAAGAGCATGTGGCGACATGTTATTGGCGGCCGAACGTAGCTCTACATCCGGTCAGAGGACGTAATAATTGTTCGAATGATTGAGATATGTTAGTGAGAAATACCAAACATCTATTACTTATTTGATAAATAAGTTTGGAAGGATTATTTATTTATTTATTTTCTATCTGAATCAAATTAGTCCACTTTGAATAGAATTAATTAGTTTTTTCCTATTTTATTTGGATGATTTTTTTAAAGTCGTGTTATAAATAGATGGTAATTACATTATAATTTTATATAATTATAAAAAAAACTGAGCATACAACCAATGCAGATGAAAATCTTCCTCGAATCAGCATCCGCTTGAAATTCGATGCTTCAATATACTACAGAAATTCTTGCTACTGAGCAGTCGAACTTGTTTATGCTATTATAACTTACATTTATTAAAACGATATTTTAAAGCAAGTGGAAAGAAACCCTCTCAAAGATGAGATTTACATAGCCTCTGAATATAGGGCCCCTCCATTTTTTTAAGAACGAGAAGTTTAGTGAAACATTTTTAATACTTGAATTATGTTGTCTTGAAACATAATAGAAAAATAGATGATTTAACATCGTCTTCACAATTTCAGAATTGTAATAGAGAATGATAACTATCGATTTTAAGGGGCTACTTATTTTGTTGCATGTATTCTTCTAACTGTTTGCAAGACCAAAAGAAAAAAAAAAACTTCCAAATAATGCACTAAGCGTATTGACAGTCAATCGTGTCAGAAATTATTATATACTGCAACCGAATTCTCGCGATAACTGATATATATATATATATATATATGTACATACAGCGTACCTTAAACCATTTTTTTTTTTTCAATAGTGGTTTATGATATATCTATCTTATGAGTGAGATAGTTACTCAACATTCAAGATTATGTAGAACCACTTATTCTTGACTTGATTGACCTATCAACTCTAGAAACTTGAAAGTAAGTGCGCATGCCCCCTCTCCATCCGTTTCCTCTATGGTATGGGAAATTATTAGGTCCGGACATCGGATCTATTTCTAGGTCCGGATATCCAATAAAAATTTGCCATGTGGATTGCGCTTTGACTGTGTGCTTTAACTGTGCTTTGACTGCGCTTTGATTGCACTTTGACTGCGCTTTGAATGTGCTTTTAACTGCTCTTTGAATGCGTTTTACCTGCTCTTTACCTGCGCTTTTGACGCACTTGACTTAAAATTTCGCAGACACGTGTACATTCCACGTGTCAAATTTTTAGTGGATGTTCGAACACATCTCTAATAATTTTTCCTATGGTCTTTCCAAAGGTGCCATTTAGTGTCTCCATGCAAAGGAAGAAGTGGAGAAGAAGATAGTACTTTGGCAGATTATCTAGGGTTTATTGCGATTTTCCTTTTTCTTCCTTTATGTGGCGGATCTTCTTCTTTTTGTTCTCTTTGTGTGGGATTTTCTAGGGTTTCTTTTGTAAACCCTAGTTTCTTTCTTTACTTGTGTTTCCTTTCAATTTTTACTTCCTTATAGGGTTTTTGTTTCTAGGGTTTCTTTTTATCCTTTTTTCCTCTTGATCCTCCTTTTTGGAGGTTTCTATTTTTTTGTGCTATTTCTTTTTGTTTTCTTTTGGATGGATCATTTCGATAATTTTTTTCTATTAATTTCTTCTAATAAAATGGGTACCTCACCCATCCATAAGTTGGATGTTTCAAATAGTTGGATTGGGCAAGTTTCTTATTGCCAATCTTCTAGAAAAAGTATTTCAGTATCCTTCTTGCCTCTGAAGGATAATATTGCTATTTTTTCTGATGTGGAATTTCAAAAGGTTTCCCATAATTGGGGATTTTCTCTTATTGGATATTCTTTAGGTGAACGACCTTATTTGAGGCCCTTTGGTCGGTCATGCTGATAGCATGAAAGCTTAAAGTTTCCTTTACTCTTCTATATTTAAATGATTGTTTCTTCTTAATGAAGTTTACCTGTCAAGATGATTATGATCTTGTCTGAACTGGAGATCCCTAGTGTTTCTTTGGTAGGCCTTTTATAGTGCAAAAATGATCTCCTCTTTTTAGTCGTAAGAGAGGAATTTTCTTCTATTCATCTTTTGATTTAAATCGTTGATCTTCCTCTGGTTTGTTTGACATCTGAAGGAATTTCTATGATTGCTAGCTTAATTTGGCAACCAATTTTGGTTGATGCTAGCTCTAACTGCGGAACAATTGAAACTCATTTTTACTAGGGTTTGTGTTTTGATTAATAAAGATTCGCCTCTTCCTAATGAGGTTAATGTTTCTATTGCTTGATCTATCATTAGTTTAAAAGTTGTCAATGATTAGAAGCCTTCTCATTGTGAGGGTTGTGGTTTAATTGTGCATCCATCCTCTCTCTGCCCTTCTTTACCTAAGGCTAATGAGGAATATGAGAATATTAATATGAAGGTTGGTTCTAATGAGGAAGATTCTTTTAGAGTAGAAGTAGAAGCATGGTTTCTTGGAAACAGTTCTATTCTTCCTTTCTGAGACTTCATTTTGTTGAGGAGTGTAGGCAACATTCAGTTGGTGCTCCAACCCTTCTTCTTTGAAAAAATCTTCAAATTGGCATGAGTTAAACTCACCACCTCTATCACTTCTCAAGATTTTTATCTTTTGGACACTTTGATTTTCAACTAATAATTTAAAGTTCTTGAAAATACCAAAAGTTTCTGATTTTTCTTTGAGAAAGTAAACCCATGTCATTCTAGAATAGTCATCAATGAAGAGAATAAAATACTTACAATTGCTTAGAGATGGAGTCTTCATAGGACCACAGAGATTAGTGTGAACAAGTTCAAGTACTATTTTGCTCTCCAAGATTCTCCCGAAGGAAATGGTTTTCTTTGTTGCTTTCCCATTATACATCCTTCACAAATAGGCATATCTTGAGCTAACAAAGGTAGGTCTTTTACCATATTCTTCTGATTTAGCAATCTCAAAGCTTTCAAGTTATAGTGACCGAACCTTTGATGCCAAAGAGATGTATCATCATTCTTTGTAAATAAAGCTCTTGGATACTGCCAAGTGATAGGAAAATTTCTGCCATCCTTCATTCTTATTTTTGCCACAACTTGATTGTCTTTGTTTAGGTCTAGAATGATACATACATCACCTTCAAAATGTAGGGAATACCCATTCTGCATCATCTGCCTAACACTGAGAAGACTTTGATCAAGGCTTGGAACCAGAAGAACATCTCTTATGTGTCGTGTTCCTTTATTGGTTTTGATGGCAATTGTTCCTTTGCCACTTGCTTCTACCAACTCTCCATTTCCGAGTTTTATTTTGGCACATACAGATTTATCAATCTGAGTGAATAGACTCTCATCTGGAGTCATATGATTGCTGCACCCACTATTAAGAAACCATTCTTTCCTTTGCTCGGCTGCAACATGACAGGTATAGAACAATTGCTCCTCCTTTTCTTCCATAAAATTAGCTTGTTGATTTTTTTATTTTTATGCCAACAATCCTTCTCTTCATGTCCAAACTTCTTACAATAAGAACATAGAGGCTTACCTTTATGAAAGCAATCTTTTTCCAAGTGATTTGTCTTTTTGCAGATCTTACATGGTGGGAATTCCTTCTTTTGTAGATTGTCTCCACTCTTTGTAATCTCTTTAGACTTCTTCTTGGAATCCTTTGTCTTTTGCTTCTTCAGATTGACTTTTGACTGGAATGCTGTTTCAAGAGTCGTATCCTTCCTTCTCTCAAGTAGAAGCTCATGAGCATATACTGAGCTCATTAACTCTATCATCGACAATGAGGAGAGGTCTTTGGACTCTTCGATCGCAGCCACCACATGATCGTAGCTCGCGGTAAGGCTAATGAGGATCTTCTGTACAACCTTCTCTTCTGAGATGTCTTCGCCGTACGCCCTCATCTGGTTTACCACGGTAATGATTCTGGAGCAGTACTCCTTTGTATTTTATGTATCTTTCATTTTGAGATTTTCCAACTCCCTTCGCAAGGCTTGTAATTTTATTGTTCTTATTTTGGAATTTCCTTGAAACTCCTCCTGCAGGATCTCCCATGCTTGTTTCGACGAAGAAGCCCGCATTATCCTTGGAAAGATAGTGTCACTTGCGGCTTGTTGAAGAATGAAGAGCGCCTTTGCATCTTTTTATTTGTCCACCCGGATTTGCGTGAGATTAGAAGAACCATAAGAGGTACTGACAACTTCGGTCGAAATGCCATCTTCAACTATCTCCCATAGATCCAGTGATCGGAACAACGTCATCATCTTCACGCTCCAGTAGTCGTAGTTTTCGCCGGTGAATATTGGATATGATGGAGAAGAAATCGAGCCTGTCATC